TTTATTCCGATATCCGATTAAGGTAATTCAAGATGTGTCGGAAAGATAACTCAAAGATATACAACTGTACTTCAGAAATAATTCTCCAATTCGATCATTTTATATGCCATAAATGGGTCTCAGTATGAGACTAAAACTTCGGAGCATAACTTTTCGGTTGGAAATTGATTTGTGATCATATTTTGACCAAATTTGATCCCTTTGACATCTTTCCTCATCCAATTGACCATTAACACTCTCAAATCTTCAATCATGAGGTTCGACACAACTTTTGAATATTTGCACTTTAGTCCCTGAACTTTGAATATCTTGCAATTTAGCAATTTTTTTTCCAATTTTACCAACTTTTGCTTATTTTTCTTCAATCTCACCAACCTACATCAAAACACACATAAAAACACTCTAAAACTTTCTCAAGGATAACAAAATAATGCATTAAGTGGCATATATATCATAAGAGAGGCGCAAATATCAAATACCCCAAAACTTAATATTTAGCTTGTCNTAACAAAATAATGCATTAAGTGGCATAAATATCATGAGTATGGAGCACTCATCAAGTACTTCCTTATTTATTGATTTCAATAATATCATTTGTAGCTATGGTATTCCTCCTCCACAAGTGAGGACATATTAATAAAATCTCAGAGATACCGCTCTCCTTCCACAAAAAAAAAAATCAAAGGTTAAATCATTCAAGTCTAGCAATCCACATCTCTATCCAAGTTATTTTCTTTCAAGTTCTTCTAATTAATTGCTCCTATTTTTGCTATCATAAATCATCAAAACACCCCCAACACGATCTTAATCAAGTCGAAAGGTTCAAAAGGCTATAAAACTCTCAAAAACAATAAAGACGTACCTCAAAACAGTGTACTAATTATGTTGCCCAGAACTCCCAATTCCCAACTTTTTGTTTTCTATTTTTCCTTAGACCCTGTTTGATTGCAACTAATTCCATGGAAAATGTCACTTCCAAGGAAGACGAATTTCACTTTGACTGTCTGATTACAACGTGGAATAGAAATTGAATTTCAAGGTACAACCACT